TAGCTGGAAATAAATAAACATCTTCCGAAAATGTTGTACAAATGCGGTCTTCCTTAAATGAACTTCTCTTCGACAATCTTATTTCTTCTGTAGATTGCAGCTATGTTAGGAATCATTTGCACTCTCTGCTCCATTGCAACAACGATATGGGAGGAATTATATGGAAAGGTAGGTACTCAGTATTCCTTTTTTTTTTATTTTATTTTAAGACATGACAAACAGTATCGGTGAAGCTCATATAATCTAGAAATGCTTCAATTTAATTAACGTTATTAAAATATTTTACGTACGGAAGTTAGTTTAGAGCTAGTCTGGGAGGAGCCCCACCTTTTTCAACGAGACGTCAACGTTGTATTTGTTCTCGAATATCCTAAACTCGGATCTTTAAAGATCGCTAACACAAATTTTCGGTTTCACAAACAGCTTTAAGGACAACGAAATTATATTCTTTAAGAGTTGTGCAACAATCGCAAACAGAGAATAATAATAGATACGGCTGACTATTCTGCGCGCTCTCCCTTTCTGTATTGACGTTTCTGTTCTCTTGAAAAATTGCCTTAAAAATGAGAACCTGTTCACTGACTAGTAGCTGACTCACCAGTTACCGCCTTGCTAATTAGACACACGGTATTATACTTTACTAATACTGAATTGGTTTTAATTTTTAAAATAATTTAAGGATTTCCAAGTATATCTACCATGGGAGAGTTTCTATAAGGACAGTGTTGTTATCATTGGCATCGTCCACTGGCCATCTTTTGTCATGGTTTTGAACACACTCATTCCTATTTCACTGTATATCAGGTAAGGTTTCTGGGTATGTTAGTGATGAGGGCAGTTTAAAGCAAAACAAGCTTTTTTTCGTTTCTAATTTTTTGTGTTCTTTAGATCACATCTTTTTTGCTATCTTGCCCTGATAAATTGAAGGTTATGAAAGCTCAAGATGGGAGGCCATTAGCTCACTTTTTTAGTTTTTGTTTTTTACCAGAGAACGCTTTTGATCCTAGTTGCTCTTGTATTTTTGACAGAATAAAGTCTTTTAAAGACACACTTTTCAGTGCATATTTTTATCTGCGGGGTGAATCGAAGTGTCGTAGAGGCGAGAGTACTTGCTTCCAAACCTTGGGCCTGGGTTCTATTTTCAGTGCTGATGTCACGTCGTGTAGATTTATTCTGACGTTGGTTTCTTTCTTGAGCAAAAGCTTTCTCTTGGGTTCTCTGGTTTATCTTTGTAAAAGAACCAACACTCCTCTTCTTCTGCCAAGGACCGCGCAGAGGGAGGGCGAGGGAGGGGCTTCGGACCCTCACCTTTTTCGAAGAAAAACTTGTCCTGCTTAGTATGCTCCCATCCCCCTGCCTTGTTAACTGAAGCTTATGCGTTCGTCATTAGTCCTCCCCCCGCCCTCCTCAACTCAAACATTTGCTGCTAGGGCCCTAAGAGCAACCGCGTAGATCGAAGACTGCCAATATCCTTTCCTTTTGATTTAATTTTTTAATCGATAAAAATGTACAGTAACATGAATGATCAATGGTTTTTTTTGTATACCAATGATTTTATCATTAGTATCGCCCTAATTAATTTTTATTTGTGTTAGTGTGGAAGTGATTCGCCTCGGTCAAAGTTTATGGATCAATTGGGACTGCAGTATGTATTACGAGATCAAGGACACTCCAGCTGTGGCAAGGTATACTGTGAAAATGGAGCGCTTTGAAATTAAGTTTCGTAAAACTGAAACCTAAGTCATTACAAGAGCTAATCAAAAGAACGAAGATTATCAAAGGGCTCAATTAAAAACAAGCAAGTGGCGCGGGTATACTGGACCAATCACGGAGCCACGAAGGCAAAACCGTAGCAATCCCGGATTTACTTTAGAAGCCTATTTTAGAATTGTCCGATATCAAAGTGAACAAGTATAGCCGCTCCTTAAAAACATGTTGCAATAATGGGACTCAGTAGACTCCAACGTTCTGTCTCTCTGTCGCTTGAATCAGTATACCAGAAGTAGGTAAAAACACTTCACGTAATCTCTGCCGAGCGAGATCCTTAGCAAGGTCTTTGGATCACAGAGCGCTTGCACATCAATTTTCCGATTTATGTCAACTCGCGCGAGAGAATAGTACCGAAAGTCCATATAGTGTGCTGTTAGTACAGGGACTGCATTTATAACTATTTTTGGTCACAAAGAGATGTTCATAATGAAGGAAAATGGTCATATCCCATGCAGCATTGTTGTATGGTAGGACTCCAACACTTTTTCTCACTCTAACATTTTTTTTCCCTTGTGCCATTTTGCTGCATTTGACTGTGAAACGTAGCAGTAGAACTCAGGCCAGTCAGACCAAACCGCGATTTTTTAGTTTTTCGAGAAAGAGGGGAAAGTTTTCTCAACTAATCGTAATGCATGGTTGAATGAAACTAGTGCAGTGACGTTTAATTGGGTACTCCATTAGTGTAATAGGTAACATCAGCTTGTTTTTCAGCAGTAACGAAAAGTGCTGACTCCCATCTTCCTTTTTTTCACAGAACAACCACCTTAAGTGAGGAACTTGGACAAATTGAATACATCTTTTCTGATAAGGTGAATTTGCGCTGCATAAGTGAAGAGTTCCATGGCTGGTCTATGAAACGTTTCACCACAAAATCCCTTGCGAGGATAATCTGTTTTGGTACCACACTGTTTCAATAAGGTTTTGCGTGGGAGATTATGTCACAGTGCAGTGTATCCAACTGAGTGCCAAAGCCAGTGTGGCTTATGTTGCTCCAGTGATGTGCAACTTATTGTTCCAATAAGGGTTGATAGGAGTGTTATGCGCAAAGTTGGCATGATAATTCGATGTAAAATCACACTTTTGAAAACGCGAAGGAAAACTTTCACCTGACTCTGAATTCCTTCTCTTCTGATACCCGTTTTCGCCCCACAGTTTGTATGTTTATATCCTTGTTACCGCTTAATTCAGATTTTATAATGATTCCTTTGGGAGATTTCATTTAAACAATTTAAAGGAGTGTATTGGACGTTGTTTTTACAACAGCGCAATTGAAACCTCCCAAAGTTTTGATTTACGATACTGTATGAACATTTGTGGAGTTGTGGGCTATTTTTTGTATCATTTTGACAGTATGTTAGTGAACGACTAGAATGTTGTCTCTTAACATTCCAGCTTCACACCTCTGAGTGAATCTAATTTGTTGAGAGGAAAGCGACTGCTCTTTGAGAATTGCTGTTCTATATAAACACCAGCTAGTTAAATAAGTTGTATATACTTCATGAGTATGTTCTTTGTTCAGACAAATTTTTTGTGTTCTGTTTAGACTGGAACACTGACGCAGAATATTATGACATTTAAGAAATGTTCCATAAATGGTAGACTCTATGGTTAGTGGATTGTAGCTTTACTTATAATGTGCTGTACGTATTTACCGATAATTTACCGATGTATCGGATATGCAGTGGCCTACAGGCCAGCGCAGTCGACTTCATATCAAGAAATCTCGGTTCAAGCTCAGGCCGGGCTAATTGTGTTGTTTTTGTGGACGACACATCACTTCCACAAAGCCTCTCATTAGTCAGGGTCTCAATAGGGATTGAGGAATTGTCAATAACTTGCTAATATGCTGGTGTGGGGTAGGGGAGGGGAGAGAGCGGGGTTACCAGCATTGGCCCATGTAGTCCCTCCCTCCTAGTATTTGTTGTGTTACGCTCCAAAACCCGGAACTAATTTTTTTCAGACGAGCCACGACGCTAAACAGAAAGTCAACAATCATAACTTTGTTAGAGAAATGGATTGAAAAGTTAATCCCTTTTGAGTAATAATATTCTTTATTCAACAACATGGTATCGGCTATCATAAATATTTTTGTGATTAATAGTAACGGTAGACTACAAGTGAAAACATTCTCTGGTTTAAATCGACTGAAAAATAATGCATAACCTAATCACTGCTAAACCGAAATTGATCGTTCTGTAATTGCGGCAGGAGAGCCTCCTGAACGATCTTCTTCTGGCAAACGGCACCCCTCTATGCACATGGCGCACAACTCTTGCCAGTTTCATAGCTGCTTCTTTGATTGTCCACTGCACGACACTTCTCGACGTATGTATGACTCTATTTAATCGCTGATCTGTCTTCCTGTGCGCTAACAGCTTTTGCAAAACTGGTTTACATGGCTTAGGTTGGGTTTTCACCTAACTGCTCTGTCAATCTTACATTGATCTATCAGCGGAAATAATAACTTTCTCTCAGGACAAAAAAAGTATAGTGTATTTCTTGTGCTCTCGATGAAATCGTTCTTGGACACGAGTCGATCTCTCGGCTTGTTGTTGATGATCAGTGTTGCCCAAAGCCTGAGTGATCACTAAAAGAAATTGTGCAATCCTTGCTTCTTACCCGGTATTCGATTAATTGAGATGTTTGATTGTGACAACCTGTGAATCTCAAAAGGGAGGGGAGTGGGGTACGTTGTAAAGAGGGGCGCGGCGTTGTGCATGTCATTGAAAATAAAATCAGGAGCATGTCGAGGTTATTGGACTTGGTTACGAAATGTCCATTTGTTCAGTGTCGCGGTCTTAATTTTTGTGTTTGGATGATTTACACTCTGCCGAGTTGGTAAGGAACAATTTGACCCTAGGTAGGAATTAACACGGAAGAAAAGCTTAAGTTCAGGTTCACCTCTCTTGTTGTCGACTTCAATCTCACACCACGAGTGTGGTGGACAGCGCCTACCTTGACACTTCTAGAACCTGTTTTGAAAAAGCTGTTAGTTCACAAGGTCTCGAAATAACGTTCTAATCCTTCAGGCTCTAACTTACTCATGATTTATAAAGTACTGAGACTCTTCTTTAAAATGTTAAGAATTAAATCTTGCTTAAAGCAATTTCAGTAGCTGCTGTTTCTTTCTTCTAACCATGAAAATTGAGATTGATGTAGCCCACACTGTTTTTAGCTTAATTCTGACAGTTTTAAACGATGATACTTTAGCCTGTTTATAAAAACTTTCAGTCGATGATAAAGGCCAGAGGGGTGACTAATCATAAATGGTGATGGTATCAATTTTGTTTCGATTTCGATCGTAAAAAAATTCTTATGTATTATTGCTCTAATCAACCCTGTAAACCCTAAGATTGACTAGCGTCTAATTTCACCATCCATTATCTTCCCTGAATCACACATTAAGGTCACGAGGATGTAGGAAACTAACACCAACTAAAGAAGCTCTTGATTGTTAACCAAATTCTCCTTATCAGCACCCTAGGAAATGTATAGAAAACAGTAAGGAGAACATGTGCACTGATGTGAGGGTGTAAAGGGTTAATCATTATATTTCTTCTGTTTAGGTCACATAGAAGGTGAGAGTGCAGGAAATCCTGAGGAAACTCTTGTCAGCTCTGTATCCATCAGAGAAGAAGGGGTAACATACAGAATTTCTTTGGTTAAGAGAGAGATGCGAATTTTCAAGACCAATTACCGAACGCAATGAACTAAAGGCAGTGTTACACGGGATAAATTGAAACAAGAATTCTTGATAAATTTGTTTCAGCTTTTGGTAGAATGTTGAATAAGTCAACTTTTTGCGTAACATCGCTCAATATGTAATCAGCGACATTTATACCATGCGCAACAGTATGGCGCTAAAACAGTCGTTGTCAATTTTCTCATCTACTAATCCCGTTTTCACACTAAAGCAAATCAGCCTCACACCCACGTTTTACTCTATTCTAGATGATCGAATGCTTTTTCCAGTAGCAAATGACTGCAAAGAAGTATTTAGGGATGATAAAGTTGTTACGACAAAGCGTGAGCAAAAGCCATTTTTTCAGTTGAAGTTTTTGTTACTCAGGCACCAGATGTGGACTTATCCAACAATCCTTACGCTGATGGAATATTTAAATTTAATGACCAGGCTTTGCTGGATGAAATAAACCTAGGAAACAAGGTGACAACGTAATATCTCTTGTTGCTTTCACTCAAATAAAAGCTGCCATTTTTTCTATAAGTAACAAAACGTTTATTCGAAAATTGGCATTTTCTGAAAAGTGCTTACTGAATTCATGTAGGATGGAATGTGACAAAGGGAGGAATTAGTAACTTTCAATGAAATGTATAATCCGAGGTTTTACTGAATGAAATGAGTTTCGGACTCCAAGAACAGCTGACATTCGTACTGAAGACTCTTTCTGGCCATTATCCAGGTCCAAACGTTGAAAAAACTTATTCTTGTCGGTATATTAAACAAGAGGAACTCCATTCCTAACGAGTACACGCATTTAAGTTGCGTTGCCGTGGTCTTACTCAACTCTGAAAGGATTGTAAATAAATTTTGCCTTCTTCTGTTACCTTTGGAACCCCAAAATCTTTGATTTTGAGTGTGATACCTAAGTGTCCCCTCTCACAGGACGGGGTCGTCTTGGCCAGAATCCGTTTTGTCAGGTCCTTGAACCAACTCGTTCCATTTTGAGATTCTTCTCAAACACCGATGGTAAAATTTGAGATAATAGACTTCGTACTGAGGTTTCTGTTGTTTACACTGACAATGATATTGAAGTTAAAGTAGTGTGCGACAGAATCAGCTATAGACGCAAGAGTAGTTATGGCTGCCATTGTTAACATCTATTGTTTTTTTAGGAGTGCCATGAACTGTTTCGGTTATTAGCTGTCTGTCACACGGTTATGGTGGAACGAGACAATGGTACGTTTCATGGAAAACTCTTTCTTTTTGTTTTTCTAAATTACTTTCCATAATCAGGCCATTCTCTCCATTTAATATATTTATAGTCAGTCTCACAGGATGGCGCCGTCTACAGTATTTTTACTTAATTTTTTGTTCTGGTAGGTAATTTGGAATATCAAGCCCAGTCTCCCGACGAAGCGGCTCTTGTGACGGCTGCGAGAAACCTTGGATTCACCTTTTTGGTAACAAACTGTTAGCTACTAAATCAAATGGCGGTAGGGAAATTATTCTGGCGGGGTTATAGCCGGCGTAAGTGTCGTTTCTGTTTCTAATGACCAAGCTAGGTGGGAGTCACGAGGGCAAAAGGAGAAGAAGGGATGTGGCTGTGGAAGGAGTACCAATATTGTAGTGCTTTGTTTTATTTTGATTTGTTTGCTGCTTTTTTGCTCCTCCTGTCCTCGCACGAGGCCCTCTTAGCCAAAACGAAAGGAAACGACTGCCAGTAAGTTTGTAGAATTTGAGGAATTATTTCCAGTTTAACCCTTTGACCTCCAAAATCCCTTGAGTGATTCTCCTTACTGTCTACCATACAACTCTTATGAAGTTAGTTCGGAGAAATTGGCCTTGTTTTAATTAACAATCCTCTTATGATATTTTTCTTTATTCTTATTACTTGCCTGCTTGATATTGTATTGATACTGTAAGGAGAAATCTTGTCTTGATCACTCATGGGAGCGTAAGCGATAAGGTATCTGTTTGCTCCCGTTGATTTCAGCGAGAAAAGGTTGATCAAAGTTTGGAAGATAGAAAGTATTTGGAGCATTTGTATCTTCATCAAATATGACATCAATCAAATTTAGAATCCGATCTTGACCATAGCAAACGATATCGTCTCTTGAGGTCAAATAAACGGAAAAGTGTCATGCAACAAAGCTCTCTGGATGGTACATGATTTAAATTGGAATATTTCTGATATGAATTTGCCACTAGATTGATTACTCAATCCACGATGAATTTATCTTTCCCCAGGAACGTTCACCGACCACGATTACGATTGATGTATTAAGAGAAGAGGTCAGTAGAATATCCTATTTGAATTTCTAGAAAGGTGCCTGATTTTATCTCCTATTTTAGGCTTCTCAGTATTTTTAATTTTAAATTGCAGGAGATCTATGAGTTACTTGCCATTCTAGATTTCAACAATGAACGAAAACGAATGTCGGTAAGTTTCTTTCAAAGATACAGTTATATGTTGAAACAAAATTACATCAGAAGGAGATCACGAGGCATAAGCTGAGCGCCAGAATAACACACAAGAACAAAACTGAAAACAACTTTTAAATAATTAAAATTTGCAGACGTTGTATCTTGTTGTGGTTTGGTGTATTTTACAGCACTAACTAAGTGAGTATGAATGTTGTCCATTTTATTTAGGTTATTGTTCGACGAAACGACCAAATAAAGCTCTACTGTAAAGGCGCTGGTTAGTAGTTGTTAACTGTGATTTGCGACGTGCTAATTCATCTCTAAACTTGGTTTCTTGCTTCCCCTTGACGTTCTGTTCATGCACGCTTGCAAATAAATTGTGGGAAAGAGGTTGGCAAAGTTACCAAATCGTTTCATAGGCCCGTATTTTTGTGCTGTCATCTCTTTCCTTTTCTGACCCCCCACACGTTCAACCAAAGTGGCCTAAATCAGTCGGTTACAATGGTCAGATTTTAAGTTTATGGTTTCGCTTTGTGGAGGAGGACTTGTTTTTTAATCCAATCCAGGTATAAGTGTCAAACTTCTCGTTCGAGGATATAATTTCAAGTTCTAGTGTACTTGACGTCATGTAGTTCCTTTGACTAAGTTCACCAGCTTGTTACTTCTCTGAAACTGTTATGTATAATTTATATACGTCCCTGCTGTAGAAACTTACTACTTTAGATCCTTTTATGTTAGAAATTGAACGGCCCCTTTGAAAACGAACATTAGTTTATATTTAGACAGTTTTGTGCAAGGAGAATAAAATCTAGATTTTACAAATTGTTTGTCTTTCAGATACCATTGTGTACGAACTTCTAGACAATTCCTGCAAACCTCTCATGACGAAAACAATGCAGCATTTGAACGTAAGTGCATAGAATGCCCTGATCAGAAAGCCACATGTGTTTTGTGACCAAGTCAGTCTTTTTTAAACACCACCTAGCTCACTTCCTGCTTTTATCCAGGTCTTTGCAGCGGAAGGTTTGCGTACGCTGGTTACAGCTTACAAAGACATACCACTTGACGTGTACAAGGAGTGGGAGGTCCGGTACAAGGAGGCGAGGTATGATTGTTTTGTATAGCTGTGCTCTTGCTGTTTGCGTTTATCAGAGGACACACCTAAGATAGACATCGACAATGAAACATATCACTCGATTTCTGTCGCTTATTTTCAATAACAGTGACACTTTCTAAAGAAAACACTCATCAGGCGAACCTCGCCAGTGTCCGTTAATTACAGGGTTAGTGTCTCTTCAACCTGTCTGTGCAACGCCCTTTCACTACCAAAAAATCTAAACAGCAATTCTCTTCAATGTCTGTTATTTAATTCATATAACGTTAGTATTGAGAATTTGGTTCTAGATCAGACAATATCCTCTGCTTTATATTTTCTTCTGTTTTCACCTTTCTTCTCCAAACTGAATTAATATTGTGGGAAGAAATACCTTTTCGGTCACTCCTGAGAGTGAAAGAGCTAGCTTACAAATTTTCCTTATACCATAGGTTATACTTGACAGGTGCTGTCAACTCACCTCAATACCAAATGAACTTTTCTTTAATTTGTGATCTTTTCTTTCAAGTAGTCATGTCTGTCATTGTGTTTTCTCTAACGTAATATATCTTTCCTCCTTCAGTATGGCCATGGAAGATAGGGATGAGCTTGTTCAAAAGGTGAGGATACTTAAAATAGATTGTGACTTAAGTTCCAGAAGATTTCATCGGCTTAGATATTTTTTTTGTTATAAACCAGGTCTATGAGGACATTGAGCAGAACTTAATACTGATTGGTGCAACGGCAATTGAGGACAAACTTCAAGATGATGTCCCGGATACGATCGCTACTCTAGCTGAGGTCTGTACGTTGAGTGTTGCGCCAGAATTTAACACAATGACACAGCCAGAGCTCGCACCCAAACCTCTTGTTGTGAAGTCCAACGTACTAACCACCACTCTCTTAGTTCAGTCTTACTAGATTGCCGAGTGTATTGTTATCTTTCACTTATCAGTTCTGGCTAACAGCTTTTTCTCCCGTTTTCAATAGGCAAATATTAAGATTTGGGTTTTGACTGGTGATAAAGTAGGTAAGTATGATGATATTGCTTTGCTATGATGGCTGCGTGCCTTTTCTTTGAGAGATACCGTATCAAGACTTTGACAGGTATCTCAGAGACTGAACTCTTCTCCATGCTAATCATTCTCAGATTCTCTGAACAACTTAAACATTAGCAACATTGATACTCAGATTATACCGTTGTGTTATACTCTGCGGATAAGCGATTTGCGTGTTATCCGATGACAAGTTTTTGCCGTCCAGGATGAAAATAGCCTTCTCTTATCTAGTCCCTTGTAGTTTCAAATTTGTTTTAAAATGGTAGTAAATTTGTGCAGTGTTTCATTTGCGGCAATTATTTCTTTGGGAGACTGTTTGTACGGATCAAGGACGATGCACAAGAATGATACTTTAAAAATTTCTGTTACAAGGCAGTTGTATGAAAATTTGAACCCGTTTTGTTTTTTCTTGTTCAACAGAAACAGCCATCAATATTGGGTACTCGTGTCATCTGCTCACCGATGATATGACCGAAGTGTTTACAATCGATGGAGAATCTTTGGAGTCTGTTCAAAGGGCGATTTCCGAATGTAAAAACAAAATTAAGGGCGGAGGAGTGGTAGGAGCACCTATCTCTCGATTGCAAAGTAAAGAAAACAGCCTCAAGGATGTAAAAGTTGAAGTGATATCGTACAAGGATAACTATATGGGCGAGAAATCAGCCACTGTACAGGTATGAAAAGAGAACACAATTATGTCACTGTGCCCTTAGAATGAGGAAAAAGTTTAGTGGTGTGATCTCAGTCACGGCCAGTCAACTCGCTCTGGCATGTCAACCACCAACTTTTACTCCATCTCCAGGGGCTGAACAAGCGTCATTTGTTTGCCTTTTTTCAGGCCAGCGGATGCGAGCATTAGGGGCGAGACATGCGTAAGGGAAGGAGGGCAGGTTCTCGCCCCTTCGCGATTGCTTCGCGCTTACCTCCGGTTTATGAAAGTTTTGCCTCATAAAATAGAATTTTCCCCTTCCCCGCCCATATCTCCACCAGTTCGCCAAAATTCTTCGACAACTCGTTTCCTTACGGCAAAACATGGGCGGCAAACTTGATGTATTTGATAAGGCGAACAAGTAGGAAACAATAAAAGCTAAGTTTTTCGTTTGTCTCACGATGTAGTCACCTTTGATGTAGATCGCGACGTTTCGACTGCATACTGCTAGTCTTCTTCAGGCGATGAGGTCGACTGGTCATGCGTGATCTTATAAAGCATGATGCTCTGCTGTAATTAGTTGTTTTTCAACAGCTCCGATTGGTGCATTTCGATCCTTGCTGATCACTCAGTGATTTGCTCCCTCGGCGGTCCGCTGTTGCACGGCTCTCCTGTTGTTGTGTTTTTTGATCGTGGGCATCCATGCTTCTGGAATTTCTATTCCACTATCCCTGTTGATGTTGTTAGGGTGAAGTCTTGTGTAAATTGCCTCTTTGACCCTGCGCGTGTAGTAATAAGGGTTACGATCAATAAACTTTACTTCGTTCCAGAGTGGCTTGTGTCCGGTGTTGTGGGCATGCTCTGAAACGGCAGAGGTCTCGGTACGGGCGAGTCGAATGTCTCGATCGTGCTCCTTTATTCTGTCTTGCATAGGTCTTCCAGTCTCTCCGATGTATACCTTGCTAAATAGAAATTCCAGAAATGCACCAATCGGAGCTGTTGAAAAACAACTAATCACAGTAGAGCATCATGCTTTATAAGATCACGCATGACCAGTCGACCTCATCGCCTGAAGAAGACTAGCAGTATGCAGTCGAAACGTCGCGATCTACATCACACGTGACTACATCGTGAGACAAACGAAAAACTTAGCTTTTATTGTTATTCACCACGATGAATAACCACAACCTTTTCTACGAAGTAGGAAACAACCGCTATTCTGCAGGCTGGGGTAAAGGTGAACTTTTAAGCTAATCAACGTTGTAGCTCTTGCACAAACAATAACTGAACGTTGTACCCTTGGTTCTGGTCGGTTATGACTGAATCTTTGATTGTTCTACATCGTTTTTTGGAAGAATTCTTAACTGATATGTGAGGGTTTGCTTAGGTTTAATAAATGGTCAGAAAGGGTGCACTATTGAGGACAACGGATCAAAATTCCATTTGAAAGGTGTAGGGATTCTCCTCCAATGGGAAAGGTTTAACACAACCTAGTTGATAAGCCAAACTGTTTACGAATGGACAAATTGGTAGGGATTGATAGATTTAGCTGCTTTTCATTCTTTTACGTTTACACTTTCAGACGCCAAAAAAGGAACAAACCTTTGGACTGGTTATTCCTGGAAAAAGTTTAGTGAGTAAACCAGACTTATTTTCTCTCTGAAAGACGCGTTACTCCTGATATAACTTTACGATATTTTCTTCATACTGTACTTTTTCAGGCTTTTGCTCTTCATGAAAGTTTAGAGAAAGAATTCCTGGAGTTGGCTTGCCTTTGTAAAGCGGTTATTTGTTGTAGAGTCACGCCACTTCAAAAGGTACATACTTTGATCGCATTTCAGCTTATTTTGTCGTCCTCTTCCGCCGGTAGTTTCAATTCAAACGTTTAGCTAGTAGCTGCTGTCTGAATAGATGTGGCAGAAAGAAGCAAAATAGGCGAGTTTACGTGTAAGCATCCTATGCTATTCTTGTAGAATTGGTTTTAAATCAATTTCCAGCCAAAAACCAGCCTTTACAACCAGTCCTTGTTCGTCGTTTTTCCCCAGGAAAATCGAATTTTAAATCATAGACGGGTTCGAACCCCTTGCAATACTATGAGCGGGACGGCATAATATTGACATGTAGACGTAATATTACGCCATTCAACCCTTTACACCCTAACATCAATATATATAGTCTCTATACTGTTCTCTATACATTTCCTAAGGTGCTGACACGGAGAGTTTCTCTAAAAATCAAGAGCTCCGCTGGGTGGTGATGATTTCATATATTCTCGTTACCTTAATGTTTGATTAGAGGGTGATATTGTAAGGAGAAATTAGACGCCAGTCACTCTTAGGGGTCAAAGGGTTAATGAACTGTTCGGCGGAAAGGAGCCGCACGGGTACTACAGCGTTTCTCTCTTTTCAACCCTTAAATTCCCAAGATTGACCAAGACAGAATTTCTTTTTACAGTACCAATACAACATCAAGAAGGCAAGTGGTGAGAACAAGGGAAAATATCTGTTAGGAGATGATTGGTTGATCCAATGCCAAATTCTCCGAACTTTCACCATAAGAATTGTATGGCGAACAGTACGGAGAATTATTAATGAGATCTTTGACGTGAAAGGGTTATTTACTCTTTGAATTTAAAGGACAGAGCGACCATGCTGCAATTGTTTCTTGCAGGCCCTGGTTGTACAGTTAGTCAAAGACAATCTTCAAGCTGTGACCTTAGCTATTGGAGATGGAGCCAATGACGTTAGTATGATTAAAGGTACGGCTATCTTGGATTTGATGAAGCACTTTACACGATGGATTAGTTCGTTGGTAGGAGGATAGCCATCTTAAAACAGAACGATGAATTCTTTGGACACAATTAATTCTCACTCAGTGCCTTTTATTTTTTCTGGGTTTCATCGCAGCTGCCCATATAGGAGTTGGAATAAGCGGTCAAGAAGGGATGCAAGCCGTGCTGGCGAGTGATTTCTCCTTCGCTCAATTTAAATATCCTTTACATCTGAGTAGTATTACTATAAGGCCACGTTATTTTCTTTTTTTGTACGGATTTCTGTTTGTGCGCTCGTCATGACCGCCAATTACAAACACTTGTTTCTTAACTCCCGTGCGTAACTACAACCTCCTTCTCCTTCCATAGGGTTGCTTAATGGTAATTTACGGTAATATAAGGTAATTATAGTTACTATTTTTCCTTAACTATTTTCGTACGTATCTTCAGCGACTTCTTTTAGTCCACGGACGATGGTCTTACTTTCGAATGAGTAAATTTTTAAACTATTTTTTCTACAAGAATTTTGCATTTACGCTTTGTCAGCTATGGTACGCTTTTTATACTGGATTTTCTGCTCAGGTAGGGTAAATTTCAATGATAGTTGTTTTGTTTTTTAAGTATAGCTGATATTTGTTTCCAGGTTGGTAGGCCATGATATCACTAGATTCCATTCCTTTACCTGTCTCAGGCAGGGCACCGCACCCGCAAATTCTTTGGGAAACTTGATGAATTGCTGGGTTACCTGTGGTGAATCAGGATCTCATCTTGGAATAGTAGCATTACACCCAGTCGTTTTATGCTGATAAAACCTGGTTCAGCTTTGTTGTAATGGGTTTGTCAGCCTGATGAGACTTGCCTATTCTATAAATTGGCCATTTCCGAGATCTTATTGGCCTATCTTTCAAAATTGGGGCTAATGCAAAACTTATCTTGGAAATATTAGTTTTTCGTTTGCATGATAACAAAAAGATATCCTTTACTGAGTCCACGCACTTGGCCTCGTTTTAAGACAGACGCTTTGGGCATCCAGGACACTTATGGCACATTATGGTCACAGTACATCGGTCTTATTGCTTAAGTTGGAAAAAGTTTGTCCATCTGAATTAATCTGCGTAGTTTGATAAGCATTTATCTGACTGACAATGGATTTAACCCCATCCCCTCTTTTTTGTTGTTGTTTGTGTATGGTGTTTGTTTGTGTTGGTGCAAAATGTTAGAGTTACTTACTTTCAAATCTTCACGTTTTGTGCTTCTTTCAGACGCTGTATGATGCATGGTTCATCTCATTTTATAACGTGTTTTTTACCTCCGCGCCAGTCGTGTTTTTAGCGGTTCTTGATCAGGTAGGGATTCTTTTTAAATTACTGTGGGATGTCGTCATTGAGAAGGACGATGATCCAAATACCTCCAGAAAATCCTGTAAGCCTTCTGTTGAACTAAATTAAAGGCTCTCCCCCAGGATTTCGTTCCATAAGTTTTTAACCCTCTGAATTGTCACTCAAGTCTTATGTTCTGCGTGTCGCACCTTATTCCATTTGCAACTTCAACTCTTTTGTGATTTGGGTACCACTGACCTTTTGTGCAACTTGGAGTTGTGCAAGAAAATTTCCAACTTCCCTCTCCCTCTTGGATTTGAACCTACTTTTGTCGTTAATTTTGTGTTTATAGACTAGCAACACGCTTCTCTCGCGTGACTCAAATTTTACGTTTCCTTGCAGTAAGACTCGAGCCTTCTGTTATCTTGGTATGAGACTCCAGCTCTAATTCTCTCTTAGCCTTTGCGTTCTCATTTAAACTGGCTTCAAAAAAAAAATACCCTTATGCAAGCGAATGCTTCTCTGGATAGAATGCGTTATAAACTGGATTCGAAACCAACTATCTAAACAGTTGATTCCCGATTAAAATAGTTATTATTCTCAAACAGGACGTCTCAGAGAACGGCTGCTCCAAGTATCCTCGATTGTACGTTCCTGGCCAGACTAACCTACTGTTCAACAAGAAAATCTTCTTTCTCAGCCTGTTGTACGGGGCTCTCACATCGTTGGCAATCTTCTTTTTGTCGTACGGTGCGTTCCATGATGATATAGCGAATGATGGCCTAGAGACGTCATCTGTGTATTTCTTCGGTACGGTGGTCGCCGCTGTACTGGTAGTGGTAGTCAATATTGAGGTGAGTGGATAGGCGCTGAAAATTCAGGTGACAGCATCAAAGAAGTGCTTACTCCTCTCTGTATTGATGAACTTATTCAAAGAGTGAGTATAGGTTGGCCGAGGGAAGATGGTCCTGAAAACTGAAGACCATGAGGGGGTCTGCGACAAAACACGAATTTAGGTTGTTTTTTTTTTTTTGACTTGTTGCGGCGTTGTGCTGGTACCATTATGGGGCCACATCATAAACACCTCTTTTTGTCCCCGACAGATCTCGTTTCTTACGCAGTATTGGACCTGGATTAATCATTTTTTTATCTGGGGAAGCATCCTGTTTTACTTCGCTTTCTACTTCGCCTTTTACGCCAAGTTCGTCTTCGACCTTTTCCCTCAGGGCCACTATTATGGTATGCAGTTTGAGGTGTACGGTAATCCGAAATTCTGGTTTACCCTGTTCCTTGTTCTTGCTGTGACAATAGCACCTCGTTTGTCGTACTACTTCCTTGAAAATGAACTGAATCCCACACTCAGCGACATTGTGAGGCGAAAAGAAGCACACAAAAGAATGCGCTTTACTTCCCCACTGGTAGAATATGAGCCTCAGCTGGTTCGTAGGCGAAGCTCGAAACGTTCAAGTTACGCCTTCGCTCATCAAGAAGGATTTGGCAAAATTGTTATGTCACCGGCAACATTTTTAAGGAAAAAACTACGTTCAACAACTCAGCCAGCCGGCGAAAGTAGTGTAGTTGCTATGTAATTCAATATATATCACTGCATCGATTCTCTTTTTATTTTCTTAGTTATTTTTGTAATACATCGTCAGACATACACGAAAGACTTAATTGTGAATTTTGAATGTAAGAGCGATCCAAGGAAATTTGGCGGTTAAGGGAGCAATTTTCTATTTTTATCCTTAACGCAATATATGTGCCGTAGCATCGCCCTCCTCTGTGAAAAATGCTCTTACGAAACGTAGATTATACACAACGACTTATTGAGTTTTTGTTATGGTTAACACTTGCTCATAGCTAATTCTTGAAGCGAAGAAAACGCCTACAGTGCTTCAGAGTAGAGCATCTTGTCTTCATTCCATGTCTACCGACCTACACTGACTTACTCAACACTGTTATTGGAAAGCACTTTTTAAATTTAACGTGTTATCTTCTAGTTAGACCAAGATGTAATTGTTACTTTGAAAATTTTTTACGAGAATCAAGGTTATATAGATGCGAAAAAGGCTATGTAATTTTAATGCTAGTGAGTTTGATTAATTACAATTACGTTTCAAGGCTACGCCTAATTTATTGCCCTGTCGGTTTTTCGATGAAACAAAAAATATTTTTGATTCAACTTGAGCGGGAGTAAAATTGAATGGGCATTTCTTTTTCAGATTCATCTCTATTTACCTCGTAAACGGCAATTTTTATTGTTTTTGATGGCATTACGACTTACATTTTACACGAAGGCCACACGATGCATAGTTTGGCAGATTATATTGAGTCGTGCGGAGTTGTTTACTTCCTACTGTATTTCGTCACAAATGCCTAAGAGTTTACCAACTCTGCGTTTCAAAATATTTTTAAAATCTCAGTTTCATCTCACGTTATTGTGCCGAAAACACGCATGCCTTGGAGAAGCCTCCAGTGTGTGCAATCACACTGGCCAGTGATAAGCCATTCCTGAGCAGGCTTAGCCGTCGTCCATTTCATTTTTAATATAGGCACTCATCTCGATCCTAGCTCTCTTCTCTGTTGTCCATAACATTCGCAATAGAAAAAATGAGCTGGGTTCGAGATGAGGAATAGTTACTCTTATATGTTACTTGCGTAACTCACTAAGTTAAGAGAAAAACAGCCATAAAGTATATGACGAGTGTCTTAACAGACAGTCAACTACTTAGTCCGTCAGTACAAGTTTAAATTAATGCATTTTAGCTGATGCGAAGATTTTCCACATTATTTGGTTTTGAAGAAGAAAACCTTATCCGTGTAAAATTGTGATTTTAGGACTTCTTTTTAGATTAAAATTGAAATAAGTAAATACATTATTCCAAGCTGAAATATTTTGAAAAGAAACCGTTAAACAATAACTTCCGATGTACATTACTTTGC